ATAATAACTAATAACTACTACTACTACTACTACTATACTTATTACGTTATTAGTAGTAGTAGTAGTAGTAGTATACTACTATATATATATATATATATATATATATATATATATATATATATATATCTATATGGAAAAATTAATCTTGACCATTGGATATGAATATGGGTGTATGCATTAATTCCATTGACCAAGCTCAAATTTCAAAATGAATTTTCTCGAACTTTGTGACACACTTAAGCTATCAGATTTCACATCTGATGTTTATTAAATAATTGTGACCTCTTTGTATCAAAGGTAAATGGTCTTATTGTATACAATCTCTATAGATATACATGTCCTCCCCTCGCCCCCCCCCCGTCCTCTTTAGTATGGTTCTGCAGGCATGAATCGATAGCTAAGGCTCTTAGGAGCATCATGACATCACTCTAAAGTGATTGGAGTAACCAAGAGGTGGCTTCTTGAATGACTTGATGGTCATTAATTATTTTGCAAGTTTCAACATTTTATGTATATATAATAAACATGTTAATGGTTTTGGGTCTCTTTTTTGTTATTTTCTTTAATTTTAAATTGGAACCTGATGGGAATGGAACTCAAGACATCACATTGTGGGACACACCACCGCGACCAACTCTGCCTAGCTACTGAGTTGGATGTTTTCTTTTCCTAGAGATATGCATATATTATAGCATTTATATATGATGAATAATGTTCCTATTCCTATTTTATGATGATATTATTTCTCATAACTCTTTGACATTATTTGTTAAGCCAAAAAAAATATTATTGGTGAATAATTGATTTTGATCATAGTATTGTGGAAGATTGCAATGTGGCATTGTATCGTAGAGTCATTTTTTATATAAGTATGCCATTGTGTTTGTAGTGTATAAGTTCTTGTCTTGTATCTTTTTTTCCAAATTATATGGGAAGGGTTATAGTTGTATCTTATATTGTAAACTTGTAAAATAAACTAGTAGTTATTAATGTCTTGAATTTTACTTTGTAGCATCAAACAGTATTTGGCATAAATACCCATTAATGTAAAAAAACAATGTAGGAGTTCATTTTTATTATGAATATCTAAGAAACTGTAACATTAAGTATAGTCACCTAATTTTTTGTTGATAAATG